GTTCCCTATGAATTGTAGGATTGTTTGTTTCTATCTCTATGAAAAATGCCACTGGAAATTTGATAGGAATCGAAATGAATCTGTAGATGGCTTTGGGTAGTATGGACATTTAACAAATATTAATTCTTTCAATCTATGAACATGGAGTATCTTATCATTTATTTGTGTCCTCTTCAATTTTTTTTATCAATGTCTTATAATTTTCAGTATATAGATTTTTCCTTCCATGGTTAAATTTATTCCTAAATATTTTATTTTTTTGGTGCTACTGTAAATAAAATTGTTGTCTTTATTTATTTCAGATAGTTTGTTGTTAGTGTAAAGAAACACTAATTTTTGTATGTTAATTTTGTATTCTGCAACTTTACTGAAATTGCTTATTCTAACAGTTTTTTGGTGGAGTCGTTAGGGTTTTCTATATATATAATCATATCCTCTACAAACAAACAATTTTACTTCTTCCTTTCCAATTTGGGTTTCTTTTATTTCTGACAGTTGTAATTTTAGATGAAATAGAAAACACAAAGCAAAATTCACCTTTAGTACAGAAAAAAAAAGTTCTCAAAATAAAAAAGCTATTAAACACATTAAAAGATGTTTAATTTCACTTATAATTAGAAAACTATAAAATAAAGCTACACTACATACCATTTTACCTACCAGATTAACAAAAATTCAAATGTTTGACAAAACATTCTTTGGCCCAGATTAAGCAGAAATTGGCACTCTCATATACAAAATGGTGGATATACAAAATGGTTCAAAATATATATTTTTTAAATGTATATTTATATTGGCAATATATATCGAAACTACAAATACATTTACACTTTGACCTAGAAATCCCATTTCTAAGAATATACCCTGAAGATACTCATAATAATACAAAAACACATCTGTAACAAAGTTATGCATTGCAGCATTATATGTGATTGTAAAACATTGTGATATATATTATCCCACACATAGTAAATTGGTTAAATATCTAAATATTCTCTCTACTAAAAGGAACGAGGATTCCTAGGGCAAAGGGTTTATTTGAGAACTGGAATAGAGAACATTCAAGATGAGTCTGGAATATCTTACTTTGCATGGAATAAAGAAGTATTCACAGCCCTTGGCCAGTTTGGCTCAGCAGTTCCGGGAGAGTCCCGGGTTCGGTTCTCCTAAAGGCATGTACCTCGGTTGCAGTTTGTCCCCAGCCCCAGTTGGGGTTGTATGGGTGGCAGCCACTGAATGTGTCTCTCTCACATTGATGTTTCTCTCTCTCTCTTCCTCCCTCTCTCCTTCCCACTGTATCTGAAGATAATGCAAAAGTGTCCTCGAGTGAGGATTTAAAAAAAAAATTATAAAATAAAAATAAAAAAGAAGTGTTCACAGAATAATGGGGAAAGAAAACTGGCTACCTAGGTTTCTATCTCCCAATATTTCCTCCAAAAGCAAGACAAACAACAAAAGGGGGGTGGGGAGGGGACAAATGAAGATCATGCCCTCAGGATTAAAGACATGTAGACACACTTCAAAATAATTTTTTAAAAAGAGCAAAATTACCAAAGCACAGAGTGGGATTCCTTACACTCATATTCCAGATTAAAGGAACTGAAGAGATATAATTAAATGAAATGAGTGATTCTGGACTAGATTTTGAATCAGGATGAAAAAGAATTGCTGAAAGGGGACATTATTGAAACAATTGACAAAAGTTGGATATGAAATGTATATTTGTTAATAGCATGGCAACAATGCTAAACTACCAAATTTGATATTGCATTATGGATATGTTCTTAGAAAACACATGCTTAAATATTTTAGAATAAAGGGACACAATGCTTTAACTAATTTGCAAATCATTCAAATTCACACACACACAATTATATTGGGAAAGGAGCCACAGAGCAAATATGGCAAAATGTTAACAATTAATGAATAGAATTCCCCTGTTCTATTCTTGAACAGGGATTATTTTTGTTCTATTCTTGAAACCCTACTGCACATTTTAATTTGTTAGAAAAAAGATAGAAAAATCACTAGTTGCAAGATTTCTGCTTCCAGTCAAGATAGAGAAACAGGAACAGCTTTATCTTCCTGCCTAAAACAACTAAATACTGAACAAAGTATATTTAATTCACAGCATTCAAGCCACTAAACACAGACAATGAAGGACAGTGAACCCTGAGAGACAATAAATAAATTAACTGAGCCCTAAAGATTATGACAGATTACTTAATGGAGAAAATTCTCAGGCCACAGCCCAGGGAGAAAGAGCTAAACCTAAATTTACATAGAAATTCAAGGGAACTGATCCGGTCCTCAGCTTCCTCTACTCTGCTGTTTAGTCCTTCCAATGTGTTCTTTATTTCTGCTATGTCATTTTTCCCTTCCACTTGGTTGGTTTTCAATGCTTCTAAATCCTTTTTTTTTGGTATCTACCCCTAGCAGGAACCGAACCCGGGAGTCCTTAGGCCCCCCTAAAGATTATGACAGATTACTGAATGGAGAAAATTCTCAGGCCACAGCCCAGGGAGAAAGAGCTAAACCTAAATTTACATAGAAATTCAAGGGAACCAGAATCACCAAAAATAAACTCATTAATCTCTGTAAGTTAAAGAGACTAAATTCAAAGCATAGAGACCAAGGTTGTCAGAATACTGGAGAAAAGACATGGGCAGATGACCAGAGAGAAGAGAGCTGCACAAAGAAAAACTCAGGAGAACTGCAAAAGACTCCCCCTTGATTATTTAGCTGAGAGTGTAAGGAAACTATGCCAAGGAAATAACTCACCATAAGTATTAGAGGGAACACTGTCTACAGCTCACACAGAGCCACAGAATCATGCAGGTCCCGATAGCTAGAGTGTAACTTCAACATTTGGGAGAGCATCCTATGAGCACTGCAAATGATCTTGCCTCACTAGAGGAGATAAATTCACCCTAAATTACACATAATTCTGGTGCCACCTAACAAATGTAAAGGCAAGAGTCAAACAGATCAAATTGTCTCCAAGTAATTTAACCATATCCCAAAACAAAGCTCAACGTCGGCCTGCGGTCCGGAGAGACCCGGGTTCGGTTCCCGCTAAGGGCGCGTGCTTCGGTTGCAGTTTGTCCCCGGCCCTGGTTGGTCGTGCGGGTGGCAGCCACTCGATGTGTCCCTTCACGTCGATGTTTCTCTCTCTCTCTCCTTCCTCTCTCTCCCTCCCACTCTATCTGTACAAAAAATGGAAAATATCCTCGGGTGAGGATAAAAAAAACAAACAAAAAAACAAAAAAAACAAAACAAAGCTCAAGAACATTTAAAGAACTACAAAAATATTCACTACCCAAAAAGGTAAATACCTGGAATTAAATCAAAGATTACTATGCAGAAAAATACAGCCCAAAATGAAGAGAAAAATCAGTCAATCAAAACTAACCCAGAAGTAGCACAGATGATAGAAGACAGGGACAATAAAGCAGTTACTATGACTATTCCACATGTTTAAGAAACTAAAGAATAAGCATATTAAGTAGAGACGTGAAAAATATAAAAAGATTTAAACTTATCTGTTACAGATAATTCATTTATTTAAGACATGCTCATTTTCAACACAGAAGTGGCTCAATTATCAGTTTCTGTTTCCATTTCTCCAATTCCTTCACCCTAAAGTAAGGTTTGAGATAAATAAAAGAGCTGGGTTCTGGCAGGTATAAGAATATAAAGAGCCCTGGCCGGTTTGGTTCAGCGGTTAGAGCGTTGGCCTGCGGACCGAGAGTCCAGGATTCAATTCCTATTAAGGGCATGTACCTCAGTTGTGGTTTGTCCCTGGCCCAGTTGGGGTCGTGTGGGTGGCAACCAATCAATGTGTCTCTCTCACATCGATGTTTCTCTCTCTCTCTCTTCCTCTCTCCCTCCCACTCTACCTGAAGATAAATGCAAAAATGTCTGTGGGTGAGGATAAAAAAAAAAGAATATAAAGAAATGGCACAAATAAGCATATTTAAATTTAAATATTAGTGAGACAGGAAGTGAGGTTGCCAGAGAAAGAAGAAAGAGGGAGGAAAGAGGAAGTAACATTGCTGGAAGAGGAGTGGTCAGGGAAATGGTTAGAGTTCATCTCATTGACAGGGTTATTAATGGGCACCAGAAATGAAAAATGTCTGAGGTGAAAAATACACGAGATGTAATTAACAACAGATTTGACATTGCATAAAAACAAGATTAGAGAAACTGAAGAAATAACAATAAAACTAACTACAATGAAACACAAAAATAAATAATGAAAACAGAAAAAAAAATAAAGAATATCAGTCAACTGTGGGATAACTTAAAAGGGCCACCTATGTATGTAATCAGACTCCCCAAAAGGTTGAGAGAGAACTAAAAATATATGTTTTTATATAATGGCTGATATTTTTCCAAAGTTGATTAAAACTGTAAATCCACAGATATAGGAAAGAGGGTCAACAAACCCCTAGCAGAAGAAAAATGAAGAAAACTACACAAAGGCACATAAAAAGGATTAAAATCAGTGATAAAGAAAAAAATTTAAGTTTGGCCAAAGGGGGAAAAAACATTTCGCACAAATCAGCAACAAAGCAAGAAAATAACATAGCAATATCTTTGAAGTATTGAAAGAAAAAGGTGCAAACTAGAATTCTATAAACAGCAAAGATATTTTTCAAAAACAAAGGTTACATAGACATTTTCACATTTACAAAACCTGAAAAAATAAATTAGCAGCAGACTTCCACTATAAGAATATTAAAGGAACTCCTTTAAGCAGAAGGACAATGACACCAGATGGAAACCAACATGTACAGAAAGAATTAAGGGTAAACTGTAACTCATTGGGTAAATATACAGACTTATGTTTTTATTATTTAAATTATTCAAAAGATAATCAACTACCAATATTAATAATAACAATAATGTATTGTGGGGTTTATACCATATACAGACATATTTGCCTTAAGCACAATTATAATGCTATACATAATAAATGATGAAATTACTTCTCTTACCTTGGATACATTGCTGACATAATTCACTTGGATAGTACTTTCTTTATCAACTTGATTACAAAGGTTCTGTAAAGTAGATGCATATTCTTTATCACTTTTTATCCTCAGGGCCATAAATTTCTTCACTGTTTCCAGTAACCGTAATTCCCAGTCTTGCAATTTTAACACGGCTTCATGTGAATTCTTCAGGTCACTCCCAAACCCCATTTTTGTAAGGCACTGTCTTATCCTCCACACTGCACAAGTGAGCCTTCTAATCAGCACATATCTGTGTATATAAACAGAAGAAAAAAATCTTAAATCAAAAGAAAATGAGTCTTCAAAACAAAGTTATGGCTCATTTTAGGGTAAAAAAATAAAATCACTACAACTGAATGCTTTCACACCAAAGATCAGAAAAGAAATGAGGATGTCCACTCTCACCACTTGTATTCAGCACTGTATTGGAGGTTCTAGCCAGTACAATGAAATAAGTAAAATAATTTCTATTAAAACTGTAAAGGAAGATGACATGACATTGTAGATGCAATGCAATAAAAGAAAGTATTAGAACTTTTACTAGAATAAATAAATTAATAAGATCAATATACAAAGATCAATTGTATTTCTATACACTAGCAATGATTAGTCCAAAAACAAATTTTTTTTAAAAATTATACTTACAACAGCATCAAAATGAATAAAATAATTAGGAATAAATTTTACAAAATAAATGCAAAACTTGTATTCTTAAAACTACTAACATTGTTGAAATAAAGAAAACCTAAATAAATAGAAAGATTCATATTCATGGATCCTAAAGACTTAACATTGTTAAGAAGGCAATACTCTTCCATTAGATTTACAGATTTAACTCAATACGTATTAACATCTAACTTTTTTCTTGCAGAAGTTGTCAAGCAAATCCTGAAATTTACATAGAAATTCAAGGAAGCTAGAATAACCAAAAACAAACAAAAAATTCTTGAAAAAGAAGAACAAAGTTGGAACATTTGCATTTCCTGATTTCAAAACTTACCGAAAAGATACAGTGATGAAGACAATGTGGTACTGGCATGTGAATAGACGTAGATATAAGTAGAATAGAGGTTTCTGATATAAATCCTCACATTTATGGTTAAATTCTTTTCTATAAGGGTACCAAGTCTACTCAATGGGGAAAAAAGTTTTTTCAACTAATGATGCTGCTAGGACAACTAGATTTCCACATACAGAAAATGAAGCACACTGCCTTCCTTAGGACATAACACAAAAAATTAACTTTAAAGGGACAATAGATCTAAATATCAGAGCTACATCTATGAAACCTCAGAAGAAAACAAATCTTCATGACCTTGGCTTGGGTAATGATTTCATAGACACAACACCAAAAGCACTAGCAACAAGATAAAAATACATAAATTGGACTTCATTAAAAATAAAAATTTCTATACTTCAAAGGCCACCACCATCAAGAAAAGGAAAAGAAAATCCACAGAATAGAAGAAAATATTTGCAAATCCTCTCTGACATGGGACTTCTATCTGGAAGATATAAAGAAGTCTTACAACTCAATAATAAAAAGACAAACCAATTAAAATGGGCAAAAGATTTGAAAAGATATTTTTTCCAAAAAGATTTACAGATGTCCAATACACACATGAAAAGATGTCCAGTATCATTAGCCATTAGGAAAATACAAATCAAAATCACAGTGAGATTCCCTTTCACAACACTGGTATGTCTATAATCAAAAAGATAGACAATATCAAGTATTGGACATTGTGGAGAAAATAGAACCCTGCTGATGGAAATGTAAAATGGGCAGTTCCTCAAAAGTTAAATATAGAGTTATTAAATGACCCAGAAATTCCACTATTTAGTATATACCCAGGAGAAATTAAAACATATGTCCACACAAAAACTTGTACATAATGTTCAAGCAGATTTATTTGTAGTAGTCACAAAGTGGAATAATCTCAATGTCCATCAACAGATGAACAGATAAATAAAACATGATATACATACAAATGAAATATTACTTGGCATTGAAAATAAATGAAGTATTGATACAGGCTACAACAGATAAACCTTGTAAACAGTATGCTAAGTGAAAGAAGTCAGAATCAAAAGACTGATATACTCTATGATACGAAATGTCCAAAATGTATAGAGAGATAAATTAGTGGTTGCCTGAGGCTGACAACTTTGGGAAGAAGTGAGGAGTACTGCTTATTGACACTGGATTTCATTTTGAGGTGATGAAAATGTTCTAAAATTAAGTGATGATGGTTGCACAAATCTTTGAACTGACTGAAAATCATTGAATTGTACAGTTTACATGGGTGAATTCTTCAGCGTGTGAGTTATATTTCAAAAAGTTGTTTTGAAAAATCACAACAGCTTAACGTGATCATCTAATGGTCAGATATCAGAAACATCCCCCAAAATATTCTGTTTACTTGCTATAAATTCTGAAAACTATGACAGAATTTATTTTGCTCTCCAGCCTCCTAAAGTGTCAGGCAGTGAATCTTTCAGGGTCAGGTAGAAGAAATGAAGAAACACATATTTTATGTTTAGTTCTGGCTCATCCATACCAGAAGTCAATTTTTTGTTAATTCAGCTGAGATCCTCTAAGCTATACAGAAAAATGAGAAAAGGTCTGTCTCTCTAACCTCAGTGATATCATCTAAAAAAAGATGGTAAAAATGTGGGTTTTCCAAAAAGAGAACAAATTACAATTTTTCCCCAACTAAAAACCATCCAGTTGTATGATCTATCAAACAAGTGGGAGGAGAAAATAGGTGGTGGAAAAGTGCACTTCATCAAAGTTTCCAAAGTAGCAACCAGGACACTAAATGGACACCAAAATAAATAAGTCAATATAAAGTAATTGACTTATTCACTTAATATGCAGTAGGATAACTCCAGTTTTTTTTCACTATGTACGTAGTAGCTTAGAATCTTTTACTTTGATATACTGTATCTTTACGGGGCATAAAATTTACAAGGAACATTCTTTTGTTATTTCACCTACAGCTCAACTAAGTCTTGGAGAATATATACTCTATCTCATCCAATGTTTTCAATGAAAGAATAAGGAACATTATTTGAAGCTGAAGAAAGGTGAAAGTTTACTTTCTTTAAAACCAGATCTGGCCCTGGCTGGTTTGGCTCAGCAGTAAGCATCAGCCCTCACACCCATGAGTCTTACGTTCAAGTCCAGCCAAGAGCACATACCTCGGTTGCGGTCTGTCACCGACCCTGGTCAGGTCATGCAAGAGGCAACCAGTGGATGTGTCCCTCTCACGTCAAAGTTTCTTTCTCTCTCCCTCTCTTCCACTCTCATTCTGTCTGAACTTGAATAGAAAAATGTCCTCGAGTGAGGATTTAAAAAATAAATAAATAAATAAATAAATAAATAAATAAATAAATAAATAAATAAATAAATAAATAAATTTAAAAAACCATATCTGTAATTGTAGTTCCATTTTTTCAGTACTTGGAATAAATATCACTTCTACTTCTAAATACATCTAGCTTTGAGCTAAGCTATAACAATATTTTTTTATTCTGTCATAAGAAATTGAAAAGGAGTTCAGAAGTATAAAATGGAAACAGAATCTGGAAGGTATATGAGAAGCCCTCCAGCCCATCCTAAGTACTTATTTACCTACACCAATATTCTAGGTCAAGGTGAGTATAAACTAATTTAATACATGATACCATTCTTTAAGATACAACCAATTTAAAAAATGTTTAAACAACTCCATAGTAAATTAAAACTGTGTCTAATTGTTGAATTGGTGGAGCTTATAAATACCTAAGGAATTAAGAGAACAGTATCCTACAGATAATTTCACCATAGATGTCAAATGACATTTATAAGACTATTCATTTTGGTAGTGTTTGAAATAACAAAAAAAGAAAAAGAAAGAAAGAAAAACTTGGAACTACCTAGCAAAAGGAACTAAGTAAATTACAATCAAGACTGCAGTATTTGATTATAGCTGAGTAAGTCTAGGACGTGGCATTCAAATCACAGTCTACGTGAATTGGTTCAGTGTCCAACCTTCACAACCATATGTAAGAGTCATGATCATGGTATATTCATTCTGTGGAATATCATTCAGCCCTAATAGAAGATGAAGAAACATTCTGTGTATTCATCTGGAACTATCAAGAATTATTAATTGAAAAAAGTAAGATACAGAACTTGGTACTGTATATAAAAAAAAAAAAGGTAGAATAATAAAAATTAATTTTGTCTATAAATGCATAAAAGTATTTATAGAAGAACCCATAGTGACTGGGACACAGGAATGGGAGGGAGACTTTTCACTCAATACCCTTTTGTGCATTTGAATTCTGTTCTAAGTGAATGTACTGATATTACCTACTTTAAAAATAAATTAATTAAATAATTTTTTAAGAGAAAGAGAAAAATTAAAGCTTGATTAGCCAAGACAAGATCCCTGGAAATGGCAAGATATGAGATAAAGCTAGAATAAAGACCATGATTTAGATTATAAAAAGTCAAAAGAGAAGTATATTTCAGGAAGAAAGAGCAGTATGAGGTACACACACAAAAAAGAAGTAGATATGAGGTGAAGAAAGCAATGTCTTCAAAATCAAGCTCTATGTGACAAGCATTTGGAAATGACATGCCAATTTCCCCCCTGCTATTTCACTGTTAGGGAAATTAATAAGACTCAGACTCCTTGAATTAACAGGTTTTTAAGGCAAAATAACAAAGTCATGAATGTGACTTTTAAAGTTACTATTTTGCTGGTGTTAGCTATACAAGTATGCTCGGTTGGTGAAATTTCAAGCTGATGTGAGCACCTGTGATTTATGCACCTTTCTCTATGTATGTTATAGCTCAATAAAAAGAGAGATACAGAGATAGATTTTAATCTGGAAGCTACCTTTAGAATTTATTAAAGAGAGAGAAAAAAACATGAAATATAAGAAGGCAAATTAATAAGTTATTATAGCAATACAGCTTGAGAAATGATCACCTATAACTGACCGTGTCAGTGAGAGCCGAGATGAGAGAGCCTGGACCTCGTGAATGGACTTAGGGAGCCAAAGAGAGGCAGACCATCCAAGGACAACTTCAGAGCTTTAATTAGATATGATGACAATAATGATAGATATGGGAAGAATGAGAATACAGAGTTACTTTGAAGAAAATACATGCATTTCAGTAGGAAATAAAATATTAAGGCCAAACATCCAAATTTGAGGGAGTTAATTGCTTAAAGGTTACAGAGGAAACCATCA